GGGAGCTCTTTTTTTTCTCCCGCGCTTTGTTTGTTTACACGATTCTTTCTTTGTCTGCGGAGAGGGATTGAAGAATTTTTCATTCCGCGATAAAAATAATATTGATTTCTCGTAAGCCGGTAAGATCCTTAAGCCACTCTAGAGGCAAGGAGCCATTACAGAGCTGCAGCGAGCGTACACGCGCAGAGGCAAGAAGTAGTGTAGCAATATAATACACGCACATATAAGACAATAGAGAGAGAGACCATAATCACTCTGCGAAACGTGCTAACGACAAAAGCCCAAGAAACACGACCGCATAGCGAGAGAAGTGCATCCGCGAGAGAAAGAGAGAGACAGAGAGAGAGGAAGATACAGAGAGGCTGCACGATATAACCCAGTCGCAAAGTCCCTCCTCGCTTACAACTTCTGAATTGTGTTCGTATATATATGTGGAACACTCCCTCGCCTTATTACTCGCACGTGTATGGGTATGTACGTAGGTTTCATATGTGTGTGTGACTGTGTGTGATGTCAGTGCGGAGTACTTACAACATACAATGTCACCAAGAAACTTGATACACTTAGAAAAGCAGTGCAATAGGAGAAATTTACTCTATATATGCACGAGCTTACACCGCTCATCAATTTTCATTTAAAACAAATAAATCTGATTTGCCTACCTAGCCTCTATACATACGTGCGTACGAGCATGTATGTATACAAGAGTTGGAAAAAAACTTTTCCCCTCAGAGGAAGAAGAGGAAGGTAGAGAGAAAAAGAGAAAGCCGAGTGGAAAAAAAGGAACGAGAGCCGAGCCGGCGTAGCCGCATGCAAATTCCAATATGAAATTCATGTAACTTTTCTCTCTCGCTTTTTGTATATATCCTCGTGTGTCGCTGTAAGTTGCGCGAGGAAAAATCCTCGTGTAAGATCCGGTAAGGCATAATTCCTTAATCTAAGTTTGAAATTCACGTCGTCGGTTGCGTAATGAAAACGCAAAAAAGCCGAGGTGTACACGAATGCACTCAATTCCACGTGTACGCATGTAATAAAAAAAAAGAAGCGAGAACGAAAGTTTTTTTTGCACATCGTTATCACCCGTGAAATTCTCCAATTTTTTCAATCTCTTCCTAACGAATACACATGATGATACAAGTCTTGGCTTTCAAATGGAACTTCAAAGTTAGCTAAGCTGCGTATACATACATAAATGCATGTATAAGTGCGTGAGCTTAAGCTATCGCAGCGCAAAAGTATCGAAATAACTTTAAAATTTACGGGTAGGTACACCGTTGAATCGCTAAAAACCTCATGCATATCATCGTAGCTACAGGATCGGACAAAAATAATGAGTAGACTCGAAAATGGACTTTGAAGTCGGGGCGGACGGACAGTGATTTGTCGCAAGTAATGCGAACACGATCGGGCGTATATACACACACACTCGTGCAAAGCAAGAGGAGGAACAGGAACTGGCGAAATCTCTCTATAAAGCGAATACGTAATAATCTAGCCATCCGTCACCGCAACGGCATTGACTAACTGGCGTTAACCATCGAAATAATTAATAAACCGCCTGTATACATAGACGCAGCTGCCGATCTCTCTGTCCTCCCTTTTACCCACCTTTTGCCTCATTTAGCCCTCCGATCATTCCAACCGATAAATTATTCACCGAAGAGCATAGTAAATCTCACTCTTCGCTTGCTATGAACGTTAAAAAGTTTCGAGGCCGGAGCTTCTGCCAAAAACCAAAGCCGAGAGTACAGAAACATGCTCGAATCAAAGTGGCGTAAATTCCGCGAACCACTCGATTAGTTTAGTAGGTGCGCGTGAAAGAGACAGAGAGATGGCCGGCTCAACTTGCCACAGTATAAACAGAAGCGCCAGTGCACCCCAGCTGGCAGCAAGCAAATACGACCTCGAGGGCATAAAAAATGAAGTACGAGACACTCGTGCTCGTCCCGATTCTTTTTTTGATCGACGTTAATAATCGGCGCAATTTTTCAGCGGCAAGCGCTCGCGCAGTTTTATTTTTATGAAAATTTTTCAATACATGGTTATAAAAAAAGGATAAAGTACATAAAAGTTTATAGTCGGTGATTTTACTTTTTTGTCGTGGTTTGCCAAAAGGGACAAGAAAATAGGTTTTATTTATTGGAAATAATCGAAGTAGCGTATAATACTGCAATTCTCGATTTTACGAGCGTTTCCGACTTTATTGTGCGCGATCGGCTATTGTACTTGTTTAGATCACAATCTGCAATCCTCTTCTATCGCACACCAGTCGCTCGCCGCACGTTTAAAATCCACACCGTTCGCTGTAAATACGTTTGATTTATTTTCGCTCTCTTCCTCTCACTCATCGAAAAAGTCCAATCGAAAAAATAGATGATCGTGAATCGATTGTCAAGTTTAAAGTTACACTCGACTTTGGCGTTAATTTGAGATTATTTTTTTGAAACAGCGAAATTAAAAACGGAACAGGAAATGAAGCTCGGCAGAGAGAAAGTCCCCCGCTGCTCATACATAGCGAGCGCGTTAACCCCGTTTCTATATAAATTGAACGATTGTTCAGTCTGGCCTGCTGGACGCTTGAATCGATCGAGCTTAATATCGTTTCGAAGAATGAATAAAAAAGGGTCGGAAAATAGAAAGAGAAATTCGGTCGATAGTTATTAGCGATTCCATTGAACGGCGCGTGAACTTTATTACTCGTAATATACGTATATAGCCCGGCCAAACGGGCGTCCTTTTGTACTTGGTGTCGTCCACTGCTCGTAGGGTTAATGTGTCGGGGGGGCTTAGAGCTTGGAAAAAAGGGGGTGATGTGCATTGCCCGGCATTGTTCTCTTATTCTGGGTTATTGTGTTAACGCAGCGCCTTTTCCGACAAAGAACAATGAACTTGTAGTCGTTTTCTGGGTCTCGCCAATTTTCTTTCGCATACATAGCGTGTGCTCGAATTGCAGCCCGCCGCAGTTGCCCACGGCCGATCGATTTCCTTCTCTCAGGAAAATTTTCATTTAATATCACTCGTTAGGAGGAACACAGGATTTCAGAGCGACTCAGATGCTAGCTGCGCCAGGCTAGGCACGGCGCAGTATGTATGTAGGGCGAGCCGAGGCGATTAGTTTTACGATGGGCTTTACATCTAGCTATCCTTAATGAACGTTATCATCGTCGTCATTAAGCGACTACGTCAAACGTCGACGTGCGCACATATAGCCGAGATTATCAAGTGATATAGTCTCTGGCCGTTTGTCGTGCGGAGCAAGGCGGACGAATTGGCTGCGTGCACTTGCCTAAACTTATGCAGGCAGGTCTGCGCCGATGAGAGAGTTATTAGCTCGATAGCGAGCACTACTATCAATTAAATAAGCTCTCCCACGCGCGCAGCTGCGAATTTTCCAAAAAATTTAGCTCTCAGAAGATTACAGCTCGGTGGAGTACATCGAGCCGCTGCGCTTAGAATAGACGAGGAGCATCAGCGACAGCTCTACATACATTGCTCGAACTTTGATTCCTTAGAAGCTCGCAAACGACGCCTAATAACGTACGTGCCCCGAATGCTAAAACACGAGCTTTGCTCTCGGGCGTGCGTGTATGTTCAAAGATTTGAGCACACATAATGCTCATTATGCATTCTAACGCCGATAATCCTCTCGCTCATACATGAGAGTCGGGGAGGCCAAAACCACCCCGGGATAGCTCGGCCATACACAACCGAATAAATCGAGCGTTAAGGAGGAACGACTACAATAACGCGTCTAATTTGTCTTAGCTCGAGCGCGGCTAGAGCTAGACTATTGCGCGATACGGGATATTCGTGAGCGGCAAGCAAATACATACCTAATGAGCCTGACCAATTACGCCTAGCCAAAAAAAAACTTTTTTACGAATTGTCAAAGTTATTGTTTTGTTTTATTGAAATAAAACGTCCAAAAATTGTTTTTTTTTCATCTGAAAATCCTTTTCAAAGTCTATTCGTCATTCGAAACACGAGACATTTACGTATGTCAGCATCACCCCGAAAATCGATAAAGCCCTTTATGCACGTCGAAAATAATTCTTTACGACAGCATAGTTTAGAATATTTATTAGTCTCATTGACACGAATATTGTTATAGTGCTGTTTACTTGAGTATTCATGCAGGTAAACTTATGCATGCGCTAGGGTCGATGAATACTTATTCTCTTTGAGTCTTTATAGACAAATTTTAGTATGCTAATAATATGAAGCTATATTAAGATTACGCTTCTCTAAAGTATGTTATTTTATATATTTTTTATGTGTAGATTTAGAATTTTGAACATTAATTGGTAATAGAAATTTTAAGTCTAAAAATAAATGCAAGAATATTGATACCTAAAACCTTTCACAAGGTGTTATTTTCAATGAAAATTTTTTAAGTATTTAACTCATAAATTTTCCCTGATAAAGCTATCGGTGATTGCAGCAGAATATTACAACGATTTTTCTCGTGCGAGCTTTCAGAAATAAATAACGTATCTATAGCCCTATCGAATTTCCAAATAGATTATGTCGTCACTTCAGGAAAAATCTGAAATGTACTCAAAAAGGTGGATTGTGGACACACATATGCAAACACGCTGCTGCTAGATAAATTTATTTCACAAAAATTGAAGTTTTCGCCCCTGAGACTCAATATTTTATCGTAACAGATTCGATACCCTTGCCCGGGATTGTTTGTTTTTTTTCTATAATTTCTAGTCGCAACTAACGCTATAATCCAATTGAAAAAGCTCGCGAGCTATTGTCAAACTATCAACGAGCACTCAGCGAAAAAAAAATTGTTTCGAGCTGACTTGGCTAAAAATAACGGCGCGTCGACATGCTCGTCAGCTTGTTAACGCCGCGATTGTGTCACAGTCCGTGTATTATACTGTAGCTATTGCTTCCAGTGTTGGATTTGTTTTTAAATTTCAAATAAAAAAAAAATTCATTACCACTTTTTCCTTGTGACTCATGTCTGCGAAATTTTTCATTTGTTTCAGAATTTGGCGACCTAGCCGTCAACGAACGGCCATGCCTCGACTCTTTACCCATGAGATGCGCAGGCAACAGACAAGATTTATACGAATAATTCCAAAGAATGACCACAGTGCGCAGGCAGCGTCTGAAATAAAAACAGAAGACTCGGGTCTTGAATAATTTTCATTTTTTATCGAAAAAAAATTAATAAAAAAACATGCTTACGCGCATGGAGTTTTTTACAAACTCACGCAACGTACAGCACAGTTGTTAAATTTTTCAACCCTCCGAGAGATACGAGTGCATGCATCGTAAAAAAAACATATCTCGCGCTCGAAAAAAAAAAAGAATAGAAAAAGAGGAAAATGACGAAAAGTGCATTTCTCAATCAATGCTGTTGTTGCAGCGTATACACCTACTATACAAGCGAAATTGAAAAGATATAGATTAATAAATTTCGCCGATATATGTGTACACGCGCTTGCTTCCGAGCCCGTTATGCGTATGGCAAAAACATTATCGAATTAGCCGTTTCGAGCAGAGAGGGAGAGAGAGAGAAAGAGATGGAAAAAAAGAGAGAAGTTGTTTCGTATACGCACGTGCTCTTGTTGAAAGGAAATCGAGTTATGAACTGTGGAAAAAAAAATTGTCAACACAAGAGTGCTGCTCTGCCATATACGCACACGCAGCGAAGCTTTTTCTTCGCAGCTCTCCCACTCTCCTCCCCCCGGCTCTAGTTCGCGAGCGCGTTGTTAAACACTCTCGCAATAAACCGATATAGGCACGTTGAAAAAACGCTTTTAGCATTATTTTTGCCTCTGTCGAGCCGCGCTGCGCTGCTACCTGCGTATAGAAAAAAAAGATCCATTTTTTTTTGCACAAGCTTGTACGGCTGCGATGAAGGTAAAGTCATCGTTATACGCTTTTTTCTCTTTGCCGGCGATTTCACTTTTAAATGAAGCGTTACCCGCGGCATCGGTAAAATGCGTCTGTACTTGATTGGAACCTATTGAATATTCCTGAACTAGTCACGCTGCGCTGTATATTATATACGTACTCTCGTGCAAAAGTAATGGGGGAAAAAATCAAGAAGCACGTTGGGGCTTTGCAAGTATAAGGGGTCGAAAGAACTTCATTAATATGCGGGCGATAATTTTATGTTGATGAAATTATGATGATGCGGATGTTTCGTTGACGCATAGCTTTCAAAAATTGAAAGCTTATGTCGAGAACTCGATTAATATTTCGGTTAAGCTAACGCTGTATACGATTGAGATTTGCATTCGGTGGCGCGTGAGTCATTTCTTTCGTTTCATACCGGTTGTGCAATACTATAACTGGGTTATATCAATACAAAAAAAGTACTCGTAGTTACTTTTGTCAAAGGTGCATGAGTGTGATTAATCTTTAAAAATTGTTACGTTTTTGCATGACTTAAGTTGGCTAATCGAAGCACATGGCTAAAAGTGTGTATAAAAAACGTTGTATAAAAAAATTTGATCGTCCCTTCTGTATTTTGACGATATAATTATGATGTATACCGTTTGAAAGAAATTTGGTAACGAATTGAATGTGAAAATAGTTTATAAGAAACGAATAAAAGTTGTCCGGGCAAAATACTTTTGTAAATACACAAAGTGAAGTAACGAAAAAAAGGAATAGCGAAATGAAAAAAAACGTACATATATACATACAGAGTGTAGCTTTGCAAAATGGAGGTATATATAAATACATATATACAGGTGAAGGGAAGGAGAGAGAGAGAGAGAGAGAGAGAGAAGGCAAGAGAGCGCTGTGCATTTTTCACGGACTGACAGTCGGGCGCGATAGGAAAAAAAAACTTATGAACGAAAAGTAAGCGCGAAATTTTCGCTCAGGCGACTCTCTCGGTGTGTCGATCCGATTATTTCTAACAGAGAAGATAATAGACTCTGATGCTTATTTTACTCGAGGGAATTGGTTGTGCGCTATCAATCTTTTCTCTTTCGCTCGCGTTCGTGAGAAATATTTTTTTCTGTATAGAAACCGTGGAAAATCTCGCGTGAAGTACCAACCGATCGACGAAAAAAGAAAGCGAGGTTTTGTTGTTGTTGTTGTTGTTTTTTTCTCGAAATTCCAACAATTTTCATAATTTATCACTTCAAGGAGTCGCTCGTAGCAACAAAAAAATACACAGGGTAGAATGTATATTATATTTACGCAGGCGCGTACACGCACGTGGTACACGCATTCGCAAGATATATTACATAATGTAAATGATATTTAGGGACCATCGTAAAGCACATTTCGTCTGGGTAAAAAAAGTGAAGGCGGCGGTGGAGGCGGCGGGCCAACGGTGGCATCGGGTCACGCATATTTTCGCCCGGGACAAATTGTCGGGCGTGGAACGGCATACCGATCGTTTCTGTCCAGACAAAGTGACCACCGAAAGTTTAATGCATGTTTTTCTCGCTGATTTACACAGCCACGCGTATGTGCATGGTAAACCTATCACTGCGTGAAAAATTCTTTCGCCCGCTCACTCTCTCTTCCTCTCTCTTTTTGTCTCTTTCTCTCGCTCTTTTTCCGGGAAAAACTTTTCGCATACGCCGTGGGGGGTTATTTAGAAGCTCATCGATGTTGACCATCTTTTTCTCTTTTTTACCTTTTGCTGCGAGTCTCTCACTTTTTTGGGGCAAATAGCGTTTTTTCTTCCACAAAAATATACTCTGTCATGCATAATCTACGAATATATAGCTGTTATAAATAACTTCGTAATCGACTCTTGATCGTATTTTAACATACTGTAAAAATAAGTAAATATTAAAAAACTCTTGTAAATGTGCAACCAAACCCCGAAGTCATATTTGCTCCCAACCCTGTAAATAGTCTCTTTTGTACGAAAAAAGCAATCTTCTACGTATGTATCCTAGACACTTACTCGATCTAACGTCTTATCAAAGTTTCGCTTCATCGAAGCCTAGTTTTTTCTCGTCACGCCAAAAAAGTCGAAGTAGAGAGACCGATCAGCAACAGCGAAGGGAAGAGAAGCTCTTTACCGCCGTGAAAAGAGCCTTGTACATATTACAATACAAATATGAGCGGTGAGATAAAGAGGCAAGATTCAGTACATTGTAACTCAACACCAATCGATACACGAGTATGTATAGACGACGCGGTGTGCTATGTATGTGTGATATATTTAATGATAAAGGCGCGTTGAGGAGTGACAAAAGCGAGCGAGCCACCTGTTACTTTAGTTTTCAAACAGCCTGAAGGGATATGATGTACTACTAATAATGTCGAGTCATTTTGAGCTTCTGTACGGTTATATCGAATCTCTTTCAAATCGTACGCACGTCGACTATGTACATGCGTGAGGATAGTTTTATGTTTTTTATCATCTGAAAAAATAAATGAAAAACAAAATTATAACTATATATATTACGAAATAGATATATATACCTATTTAAAATTTCAGTGTTTTTATTGTATTTATAACCTACCTCCCCATGTAATTCTTTTTTATATACTTTTTTTACAACAAGCCAAACAATCTCGATTCGATCAACGTAGAAAACTCAGTTACACGAAGTTAAAATAATAACAATAAAAGGAAAGAAAAAAGGAGCTGGTATGCTGGTAGAAAAAATCCTCATGCGCAGACAAGCGCGACAAGCACGTCTTATCTCCGGTACCATCTAGAACTTTTTCTTCGCGACAAACTCAAAACTGTCGCCCGTGACCTTCTTCTGCTTAGAATAACCGCTGAGAACATCGGCCAAAAATTAAATATCTAATCACTTGGCGCAATTAAAAAGGCTAAACGCACTTTTTTTACTCTACCGTCCATTCGAGCTCCCAACTTTTTCAATTTCAGAATGAAAAGGACCGAGAGCGAAGCTTATACGTACCTAGAGCGTTATAGTTCTGATACAGCGGCCTGTTTAAGAACTAAACCTAATTAGGGAAGGGTGAGCTACCATCGTGGTTTTAATGGAAGAATCTTTTCTCTCTCTAGCGAGCATAAAACGACGATTCATCACGAGAGCTATGAAGAAAAAAGGTTTAACTTTACCCTTGGCGCTGAATTAATGTAATTAATCACATCGGTAACAGCAGCAGCGGCGGCGGCGGCATCGGCGTCGGTGTCGGCGCGCGTGGGCGCGCCAAAGTGTTAAGAAGAAACGAGGGCGTTTATTTGCGATGTATAGGTAGCTAGCTGCTGCTTGGGAGGAAAAGATTTTTCTTCGAGGCGAAAGAGTTGCACGTACGCGAGCGTCGAGGCAGGATTGATACAAAATAGATGGAGCCGCGCAGCACTGCACGGGGGCTGTGTTGGCTGGTTTGCGCGCGCTGAGGAGAATCTCGGATTATACGGCACTTTAACGACCCACCGCTACCGCCGTCCGCCGCTGCCACCGACGCACGCGTGTATACGAGGCATTATTTTTACGATCAAAGAGCTCTCTGTGATCTCGCGTGTCTCGTTACACATGCATTATGCGCGTCAGGACGAGGCTGCCTGGCTGCATTCTTCAAAGATACGAGCGGAATTTTATCGAATAATTTCAGCCACCTCTACGCAGTGGCGAGAGGCAACGCAAGTAAACTCGGCACAAGTCGCACGCATTTACACGAGGACAACGTTAATTCGACTCGATTGTCTCCTCGCTTTGCGTGTCTTCATTGTCTGATGCATCCGCAGCTCGCAGCTCGTGAATTTCGAAGCGCTAATTTCTCACGCACGGCACGCCTGACGCTATTCTCTACGTGCCATACACGAGCCGCATCGAGTCGTGCTTTGTTTTGACGTCTGAGATTTCTTTTAGCGATCAGTCGAGCGAGCTCAAGAGTTACCGGTTTTTGTTTTTGTAGTTGTTGTTGTCGTTAAGAGCTTAACAGCACGTAATGGTATATGTGTGTGTGTGCGCGTGCATGTGTACGAATGACTACGTCGTACTCGAATAGCTTGAAATTATCGATCATCCTAATAACCATTGTACGATTTCCGGAAATATACTTGCTCTTACACAAACATATTCGCATGCGCGCACATTCACGTATGTAAGTAAATTACCCCTGTTGGACACGTACGATGTGCATATTATGCATACGTACATGAAACTTCGTTCGCACAAATTATGGGTGTCGGCTGTAGCAAAACGAGTTTTCGCAGCAATATTGTTTTTCTTATTGCTAGAGCACACATGAACTCTATATGAATCTCAATTTGTGTAATAAGACCGAAGCTACAATTTGTTGTTCATTTTTCAACAAGTTCAACCACGAGTAAAACAGTTTTTGTTGTTTCAAAATGCTTTTTGCAATGCTCCGAATGTAAAATGAGAAAAATTAAACGCGTTAACGCTGTGGGGTAAAATTTTTTCAAGCTCGTCCATGCACAATACATTTTTTATTGTTTATAATCACGCGCCCGTATTTGTCGTACGGCCTTTGACTGGATATCTTTTTTAGTGACATGAGCCTGCATATATTCGCCATACCGATTTTTTTCCGCCATCTGAAATGCCAATAATTGTCAATTAAAGGTCAAAGGAAAATCCCAAAAAGAAGATTGCATCTGTTAAAATAATTATTGGTTAAAATATTCAACAGCCTGCAATTATTTTCCAAGGGCTTAGGAACTTATTTGCACAAAAAATTAATGGAAAAAAGAAGTCTGTATATATATATATATATACGTTTCAAAGCTCATCGAAGCGAAGAGTGCATCCAACAGCTCGTCAATAAAAGTTTGACACTATATAGCGGCTCAGCGACGTGGCAAAAAAAGACCTACTTTATCTTCGGTCTAGCACACAATATACATTTAGCGCTTAGTCATTGAATTACCGTGAGCATGAAGTTAAGGATACTCCAGATTGTCATATATGCATATCCATTAGCATAATATAATTCGAGAGGTGCAGCTGCTGTTTTTTTCGTCCAAGTGTGCAAAGTCGGGCGTAAGTAATTTTTTCATTGATGAAGTGCGAATTGTGTTGCCGAGTGAAGATAAAATTCTTCTTTTTTTGCACCTTACAAGACACGACGAGCGATGCAAAAATTTCGCTCGCTTTATGTGTCTACGTCGTGAGTGTCAGCTGCTGCTGCTGCTGCTGCGTGAAAATTCGCAAGGAACGTTTTTCCCTTTCTCTCATATTCGAAAAAGTACCCGAAATCTCTGCTGATATTGGTCTTTTGTATAAATATGTTTCGCGCGAGCATGTGTTACCCAAAGCTCGCGCGCAATGATATCAAGTTACGAGGCTGGAGATATTAAAAATTATCGGCTTTATATTGGATTTCATTTTGACGCAAAAGGCTAACGCAATACTTCCTCCGCCAATGTATTTGTATATTTTAAAAGTAGCGAAACTAAGTAGAAAAATTTGTAAACACACAACTAGAATAAGAATGTTACGGAGCCAGCAGCTGCTGCATTAAAGGCAAATTAATTTCACTCACTCGAACGAATCTCTACCTTTTAGCAACGCTCAAGATCCCAAAACGTTATTTATCACGCAAATATCGACGTGAATTTATGTTAAAGTATACCTTTTTTTCGCTAATGATAAAAGGATATACATTTCCCATGGCATAACTCGATTTATCATTGTCAGTTTACTTTTTGAAAATTATATTGATTTTTTCCACGCAGCCGTAGAAACAAAATAAAAGTAGACTGAAAATATTCTCGAATCAATTAAAGCAACTATATACGGCGGGGGGAGTA